CGCGACGTGGGAGCGTGTCAGCCCGCAGGGGCTCATCTGAGGGCGAAAAGGCTTCGAAAGCAGGAGCTGCGGCGCGTCTGGGTGCGGGGAGGGCGCGTGGGCTCTCTTGCTTTCTTCGGGAGGGCCCAGGGCTGGTGGCGGAGCTGCGTGGGCGCAGACACGGCGGGCAAACGCCCACCTGCGCGTTGATGTCTCAATTCTTGGTCGCGCGGTGTTTCTCCGCTGCCTTCCCCTTCTCAGCCCAGGTGCTAGGGTTAGGTTCCCCGTTCTCCGGCACTCATTTTACCCGCCTGCAAACGCGCTCTCCCCCCTGGAGTTACTCCCGATTTTCGCCGATATCAGAAAAGCCAAGAGGCAGGTTAATGAGATTTAGAAGAGCTTTTCCATCTGCCATATGACTTTTCATTATCTCGTTAAGCATAAGGATTTCGCTGGATTACCATGCTATTCATTCACGACACCGCAAATTGTGTAAGGGAGATGGTCTGTTATTTACTGGGGAATTTGCTCTGACAGTAATGATGATTTTTTTTTTTTGGATAGTGAAGGTATTTCACAGCACAGGACTGTTGCTTCTTTTCCATATTATAATCTTTTTGTAGTTTAATATCAAGAGGATAGCTTCTGGAAACACTGTGAAGCATCACTGTCCTTGATTTTCTTGGATTCATTCGGGGATTTAATGTATTCCTTCTGCAGAAAGGAATTGATTGGCAAGCACAAGCCCCAGTGAATTTCACATAGCCCCTACAGTCCCTTCCCCACAGTTACCTATAGCTACGCCTGAGATTGTGCTCCAAAGGGCTTGTCCAGCTTTTCCCGAAAAAGCTGAAGCAGCAAACCTTACAGGTAAAAGGGAGCCCCTCCACCACAGAAACCCTAGCCACCCACGGTAGCAGTGCCAAAGTTAACCCCAGAGAAGGCAGTCCCGCACCACGCCGGACACCAGTACCCACACCTTGAGTTGCACCTGGCGCGGCATAGGAAGCTCATGCAGCCCTCGGAGAATTCCCGTAATGTGCTCCATCTGGCTGACACGTGTGCGAGCAGCCAGCTGCACGCTACGTTAGTTTTAACGTCTGAATAGACTGGAAAAGTTGCCCGTAGAAGGCATATTACCAGAAATCCAGTGTGATTTTCACAAAGGCATAAATCACCACAGACTTCCGTGGATCAGAGAGAGATAATAACAAGTATTTGGCAGAAGGGAGGAAGCGCATCTTGCCACAAGTGTTCCCGAGGCTCCAGGATGAAGTGGAGCGTAGTGCGACTGTGACTGAGGAGGTGGGTGAAAAGGCTAGCTAGAGACGCTACCCACATTTCAGGGCTGACTTGGGTCCTTACTCACCAGGTTACTTTCCTAACAATTTTGGTCCTAATAACTTTGGAAGTTGGTCCAGATTCACTTTCCCACCAGTGCCGGGCACAGCGGAGGCAGAGAGAGGGCAATGTCCACATCCTGCGGCAAAGAAAGGAAGGCAGGCACATCGCTAACGATCCCTGTAGGCAAAGGCTGATGATGGATGTGGAAGCAGCATTATGGATGTCAGACCTTTGTCCATCATTAGGAAAAGATAATATGTTAGCATGGTCTCTGTGTGCCCTAATTAGGCTGGAAGCCAAACTGAAACAGGGTCAGGAAGTCGGAGGATTCTGGACAGCGCTGACGTTCCTGAGGTGTTAACTCCTCAGTCACCCTTCCCTCAAAGTTCATCTCCAGCAATGAACTCAGTGAAACTTTGTTTGACCTCCCAAGGCACAGGAGGCACAGATCTATCACAGATCTGCAGGCTGCAGGTTAAACCTTCTCTGGGATCTTTGTGGTCAAAATTGGGCGGAGTTGCGCTGAAGAGGCTGACTCTGATTCAAATCCAAACGATTTCATCTGCAATGCAGACAGAAGATTTTACGACTGTGAAAGACACTCAGTACCTGAGGTGCTGAGCGAGGGCAGTGCAGCTGCCCAGCCGAGGGATACCTCCCCGCTCAGGCCTTCGCAGGTGCCCAAGCGAAAGGAAGCTTTCTCAGCCTGTACCAAACCTTAGCGAAGGAGTCTGAGTGCCCTCTCCCTCTGTATCAATAGCTGATTGCAACCGCTGTGTCATTATCTTCCGCATGCTGCTCAGCAGCTTGCCAAGGCTGCCTAGGTGTGCCATGGGTGCCAGAGGACAGAAGTTATTAGACATAGCCATTAAATTCATCCAGATCAAAGGATGGTCTCCTTTAGAGAACTCCTAACTTATTTGGCGCTGTCAGTCTTTGTGGATGTTTAGGAGGGGGAAGAGACCGTGCAAACATCATCCCAGTAATTTCCTGCCTTATTATAAAACACGGCTTCAAAATATTTTATGCATCTTTAAATTTCCTAAGGCAGTTCTACAAGTATCATTAAATTTCCACTTTCTTTTTGCTTATTGCACAGCTTATGTTCAACTCCTTAGAGAACTAGTTAGGGTCTTTCTGCTCAAAACTTCTCCTGTGGTAATTACTGTGCAGATGCCAACAGCTGGCACATGGTTTAGGTATGGAGTGGGTTGGTTAAAAACCAGCCCTCTAAAAAACAATCTGCGAAGAATTTTTTACACTAGCAACACCTTATGTCTTGCATGAAAAATTTAGTATCTTTTACCCCCTGACATTGTCATCAAAAAGTTTTTAATACATGAGCAATCCAAATAACTTTTCAGGTATTGGAATAAACTCAGTCACTTCGGTGATTTAATACTGGAAAACTAACAAGATTCAAGAATAAAAATTAGGTCCTGCCTGATTCCTTTGAAATTAAAGCAAGTTCGACATTGAAAATTTTCTTGTTTCATTTTGCAACCTCTTCTACAAATAGACTATACTAGGATGGGCAACTTAGCTTGCTAACATACACATTTCAAATACGCCACGTATCAGTAGCTAAGTCAAAAGCTTCAGGAGCTCGGACTCCTCCTGGTTTGCCGACTAGGATGCTCACTGCGTATAGCCGGGAAGGCTGCGGGCTCAGTCGTGCACTGTTGCAATGTCAGAGGCGTGGAGGGTATGCTTTTGCCTTTCTCTGAGGCAGTCAGCGCTGAAAAGTTGAGGATTGGATAGCTGACAGTATGGGCTGGTGATCGGTTCTAGTAAACCAAAAATGTGTCTCTTAATTGGTGTTATTCCTAAACATTTGCTTTACTGTGGGAAAATGTTATAAAAAGCAGAGAAGGCTTTTTTAAGATTGTGATATATGAGCCTCCTGCCTGAAGCTGCCACATTCAAAACCAACTGGAAATCTCTTTACACGAATTCATCTATTTAAGGCAAGGAAAAAAATGGGAAGTATTTCTGAATACTCCCTGAACTTCTAAAAAACAGTATTGTACCCAAAAGGATACTGAGAATACAAACCAGATTGTTTGTTGAAGGTTTCTGTTATAAGAACTTACCATATTTTCTTTAAGAATTAAAAACCAAGTAATTATCTGCACACATTTCCCCATTGGTCTGCTAATACATATGAATCTAAATGAGAACAACGAGGTACATTTGAGTTATCGCTGTCCTTTCATACATTCTCGGAATTGTTCATTTTATGATGAAGTATCTGTACAAAGCAATAGCTCGATCTACTTCCATTTGAAGTAATATATCAAGTTGGGCTGAATATTTAATATCCATGTTGTTGGTAGGTTTATGTACAAGGGCAAAAGGTTTCCAGCCACCACAGGAGATTTTTTAGGTACAGTCAGTGGTAGGTGGCCCCTGTTTTTTGTAAGCTTGTCTTCCAAATTGCCAGCACAGTTTGAAGTAGGGTGAAAATCTGCCCTATGCCGTATACATTCAGCGATGAAACACATCTTTTGCTTCCAAAGACATTTGCAAGTATATGCAGCAAGGGTCACTTGATCATCAGCAAAGGACAGGATGAACAAAGAAGCTGCTTTCAGTTTACATTGCAAAACAGTTCTGGGGGCAGCAACAGCAACCTGCATTTTTTAAAACTACACAGGAAATTTCCAGGAGGCAGCGTTTGACTTTCACAGTGAGTATGAGAAGGACACTGAAGCTCAGCCCTACCGAAGTTCACATGCTTAGGGTGATATTTCCTCTGATCAGCCTTGCTCCACTTTTCCTTTTTTCTCTAAACCAGCCTGATGTCACTGGAATGGGAATTACGAGTGGAAGTCATTAAAAGATGTTTGGAATATCTAAACAACGGCTAGGAACACAACAGATCTGTCCGCAGTGTTTTCCTTCAGAAACCAGCTCAGATGACTGACAGGGCACAAAGGCCTCTGAGTGCTGATCAAGACATTCCTGTTCCTCCAGTCCTCACCTTCGGACAGAGCATCTAACTGGACTCAGTCACAATGACCAAAAAAAATTGGCCACCTAAATGAGCTGGCATAAAATGTGTGTAATAGAGAACT